CTTCTGAACAACATGGAGATGATTCGTAAGATCTACAGCACGCTGGCTGGCACGCGAAAGGACACGCTCGTGACCAAAGGTGCCCACATTGTTACTTTGTTTTTATATTGCATCTTTGACTTTCAGCTACAGATGTTTCATGAGAGTGACTGGAATGTCCAACAAAAGTAATTTTCTCTCATTCCATGTCTCTGCAGAGGAGTTTGTTCATGCTGCCAACCGCTTCGGTCAGATCACTCCGATGGAGATTGACATCCTGTACCAGCTGTCAGCCCTGCACTCCCCCTCTGGGTAAACACTCTCTCTGAGACTGTGATCAAATCTGTGTCACTCTTAAAATGCTCTGTACTAAACTGACAAATACTGAAAAACAAATATGTTCGATGTAAATAACGGGGGAACTATACATCTGTCTCTCAGGCGCCTGAATCTCGCTGACATCGAGAGGATAGCTCCGTTGGAAGAAGGATGTCTGCCCTACCACCTGGCTGAAACCCAAAAACAGGTAGGATGACAGAAAAGGTATCATTGACATCATCATAATCTTATTTCAAAATGTACATTTCTAATTCCATATGTGAATTTGCCTCAGACCCACGGGGACAGCTCCAGGCCGGTGTATCTGCAGGTCGCTGAGTCTGCCTACCGGTTCGGCCTGGGCGCCATCGCTGGAGGTCAGTTCTCCTCAGGCACAGCAACACTTGACATATATAACGTTATGTATATTGGGTCTTGCTAAGTCTGAATTGGGTCACACAGCTACGGGAGCCACGGCCGTATACCCCATCGACCTGGTGAAGACTCGGATGCAGAACCAGAGGTCCACAGGCTCCTTTGTTGGAGAGCTGATGTACAAGAACAGCTTCGACTGCGCTAAGAAGGTGCTGCGCTACGAGGGCTTCTTCGGCTTCTATAGAGGTAGGCCAGCTGCAGTCTTACACCAGGGATTTGTTTTTGTTCTGTCTTCTTAGACTCCTGTCCTTAATACTGTTGTTATTGTTTCATGTCATTCCTTCTTTGAACCTTTTTTATAATGACATTTATTCAAGGGTTGAAAAAGCCTTCAGTAGGTAGTCGAGTGTGCTTCTGCCTTTTTTATCTATTTAAAATATACATTTGATCAGTTGAAGCATTTTCATGTAGTTATTTTGATACAAACATTGAATGAGGCAAATATAAGACTATGTTTTGACATCAAACAGAAAACTATTTGGAAATTGATTGTTAGCCAATTTGAAAATGCACACGCATCTGGCTCTATGAACATACCGCACTGGAGTGCAATGAAGCCCAGCATTTGCTCCAGTCACAATAACATGCCTCTTTGGTGCCACCCATAGTGAAAGAACTCACCCATTGAAGCTTTTCTACACAGTATTGCACTTTTGAAATAACAAGCCCGTCTGTATCAGAATCAGTGTGTGTGGGTTTATTATGGTATATATTTGGTTAGGAAGAATCATACAAATGTTTTGTTGTGACATTTTTATTTGATTGTAGTTTTCCCTTTATGTCATTAAGCTTCCTTATCTTTCATATCCTTTGTCATTTCTTCCTGATTCCCCCTCTTTGCTCCTGTTGGCTTAGTAACACTAATGAAATGAGATTCTTATGTCACTCATATCCCATGATGCTCCACAGGTCTGGTCCCTCAGCTTATAGGCGTAGCACCTGAGAAGGCTATCAAACTCACCGTGAGTATCTATCCTCTCTCATACACAAACATTAATCCTGCTCCACTCATCATTACACACTTGTCATGTGCCATTTGTAATACGGTGATGTATTTTACGGGAGCTTCTGCACATCAATGTTAATAATATAAGCGTACACATCACATTACATGAACAGGAGGGAATTGAGATGTATTCTTAGAGGATGAAAGACACCACATTCAAATGTCACAAAGTCAAGATAACTGATAGATTTTCAGTATTTTCTTAATTGTCTCTGTTTGTGTCCTTCAGGTGAACGACCTTGTCAGAGACAAGTTCACCGGCAATGACAACTCTATTCCTCTTCTTGCTGAGATTCTGTCTGGAGCTTGTGTAAGTACCAGGTCCAAATCACTTTCCTGCTCCACCTGTTTGCGAATGCATAATTAAACAATAGACGAGAAGAAGAGATCCTCTGAGGGCTTGTGACTGATCTGTTGTAAAGGCTGTTGAAAAGTAACTCCTGCATGACGAGTGAGTCTATATGTTGTAATAACTTGCTTGCAGAGTTCCATTACTAACAGAGGACTGCGATGCTACATCACATCCGGGATTAAATTGCCATTGTCCAATGCAACATTTTTTCTGTTTCTGTTTTGATAGCGTTGTTCATCCTTACACACATTGGCCCAGCACACCTTACCCTCCGAGGAAATGGCAAAGTAAATGAATGATGGATTAATGTTTTATTTTTTATATGTTTCATGAGCAAGACTTGGCCTGATCCCTCAGCAGTGTGCATGTGAGATGCAGGAGCAGTCATCTTTTTATTAATGGAAATATGTGGTCAAGCCCTTCTCCCTCTCCATGTCTCCAGGCTGGAGGCTCTCAGGTGATCTTCACCAACCCTCTGGAGATTGTGAAGATTCGTCTGCAGGTGGCAGGCGAGATCACCACTGGACCCCGAGTCAGCGCTCTCAACGTGATCCGAGACCTGGGCTTCTTCGGCCTCTACAAGGTAATATCCTCTTCTCTCAGGCTGCCCAATGATGCGTGCACAGGTAGTGGTTAGCATTGTCTTTGTATGAAAAAGGTCCTTATTTAATTAGCTGGCTCTCACTCACTCTTTCTTTTTTTAAAGTCTACTCTCAAGTCTCATACATGTGTCTGTTCTTTGTGTGTCTGTCTAGGGTGCTAAAGCATGTTTCATGAGAGACATCCCCTTCTCTGCGATCTACTTCCCTGCGTACGCCCACCTCAAGACTCAGTTTGCTGATGAGCAAGGCAGGCTGGGCGCTCTGCAGCTTCTCACTGCCGGAGCCATTGCAGGTAACTTCAGATTATGACCCAGAACAGCAGAGGCCTTCAGTCTGCGCTGTATCTGCACTGTATTTACTAAATACTGCCAAAGAGAGATTACAAAATACCCTTTTAATCACCGTTTCAATTATCAGGATTTCGCAGTTTTTTTTGTCAAGAAGTCATTAAGCCATTTCCTGTATCTTTGTAGATAAAAGAAATATCAATTGACCCATTTTCGTTTAAGAAGGCCATGCACACATCATGTAAAATATACTAATTGAGGACTAGCCTATTGTCGTTGCCAGTTTCATTGATAATAGTGAAAGCATTGTTTGGCAAATGATAAATATTAACAATCTACATTCCTTGATTATGTCATTCTTTAAGTAGCCTGCCTGTCAATCGTTTCCAGGCACATGGACGCACCATTTTATTTCAGATACCCTTGTTGTTATTGATTATAACGGACTCATGGAGACAACACTTTACACAGGTAAACATGCATCATCTGACTTCTTTGTAACTCTATTTCCCAGGTATCCCTGCAGCCTCCCTGGTGACGCCTGCCGATGTCATCAAGACTCGTCTGCAGGTGGCAGCGAGGGCAGGACAGACCTCCTACACGGGGGTCATCGACTGCTTCAGGAAGATTATGCAAGAGGAGGGCTTCAGGGCTTTGTGGAAGGGAGCTGGAGGTGTGTGTTTGTGTACACCCGCATGCACACACACACACACACACACACACACACACACACACACACACACACACACAGTGTTTGTGTGTGTCCAGATATTTATTTGCATGTACACTGTGTTAAATTGTCTCTGTGTTTCCTCCAGCTCGTATGTGCCGGTCCTCTCCTCAATTCGGCGTGACTCTGGTGACCTATGAGCTCCTGCAGCAGTGGTTCTACGTCGACTTTGGAGGACAGTAAGTGGACTTTTTTGATAAAAGGAAATTGAGCAGTTAAGTAACTATCGTGGGCTACAGAACATCTGGTTTTAGATCCAGGAAATGCAGTTTAGTGCCTTTTTTAGTTTTCAGCATATTTTTATGATTATCAGAATATCTTGTATTTTGGCCAGGATAATAGTTTCAATACATTCTAATGATGCCTAAATACTTGATAATAAATGTAACTATGAAGGTCAAAAGCAACATTTTAACTCATCACTTCCTCTCTCCTCTCTGCAGTCGTCCCGCGGGATCCCAGCCCAAACCCAAGTCTCGCAGCTCAGAGCTTCCTCCCATCAACGCCGACCACGTGGGGGGCTACCGCCTGGCCGCTGCTACCTTTGCAGGGGTGGAGAACAAATTTGGCCTCCACCTTCCCAAGTTCAAGTCCTCCGGGGTGGTGTCCATCCATCACCCAGAGCCTGTCGCTGCCACGCCAGCCTCGGACTCTTAGAGGTCTGAACCTCCACGTCATTCTGCCATCCCTCCTCCAGGAGCCAGACACTCGCATAGATATACACACAGTTTAGACACACTGCACACGTAGGGGCATTTGATTTAGGAACAAAACAACAGCAGGGTGAAGGTGCGCTCGACTGGCTGCTGCTGTGGAGTGCTGACTGTGTTGTGTCTTCAGTGGCTGCTCTCCATCTTTTGTGTTCTCCTCTCCAGCTTTCATATGAAACTGCACTCCTCTCTTTCTCATGAGTACCTGATTTGATTTATATTCAGTTTCTGTCTGATACTCAGTGCGACTCTCTTATTGGACAGCGGGCATAGCAAATATTAGATTGGTCGGCATCGTGTGCGAGGCTTCACTCTCGATTGGTCCTCCCACATGAGGTGACATACTGTACATATTGTATAACTGTCCTGAGACAACGTAATGACAGGAAGGAAGAAACTTACAAGCTCCGTGAGGTTCAGTTGGGATCATTATACAGTGACTGTAATGTTAGGACGATGTGGGGCCTTCCTGGTCTCTGAGAATCACTCTTACTGATGTACAGAACTTTTCAATTAAGTGTTTTCTTGTTAAAACAAGAATCATGAGAAGAGAATTAGATATTAATAAATTAAATGTATCGCATTCAACCATTGTATTTTATTGAAATAAATCATCCATATGGTTTTAATTTTAACAATATGTCTCGAGTTTTATTCCAATGGAAAAGTGCAACCATTAACTGTATCAGGAACAGTTAGAAGGGTAAGAATACAGTACAATTAGTCATTGCACAATACTGATCTTGTTCATGGTTTATCAAATATGGTTGCTACAGTGCATTTTTTTAATTTTAGCTCATTTTAAACATTAGAGAAAGCGTATGAAGCTGAAATGTATACCAGCCTGCTGAGGTTGGACTGCTGCATCCTGGAAGGAATTAAACATTGGATGGAAAATAAAAATCAATTCATGGTCTGGGTTAAACATTTCCAACCTCAGCTTTACACCTTGATTTAAACCTTAACGTAGTTTATTTGGATCCTCATAAAGAGGACAGTCAGGAAACTGTTTCAACTACAGTTACAGAGTATAAAACAATAACCTTTGGTACAGAAATCACTTTGAACTGTACTACTGTCAATAAATTCAAGGCAAGTATAGGAACAGATTTTGCCTAGCAGAAAGCTTGTAGTGCTAATCTTAGGAATGTACTACTCAAGCTTTAAGTACAAAGCAGCATTTGTTAAACAAAACACAACATATTTAAATAAGTGCAACCACCAGAATAAATATTAAATATTGTAGTGGTTGAAATGTAATAATGGCACACTTCTGCACAGGCCAGAGTGCCTCAGTCAGTTAGCACGTTAGCTGGTCTAGTCATCATATTTAAGTGCTGCTGAGGATAAAGAGGTCTGATAGTGATATGTCAGCTGTTCTTTGTTCGCTCTGCAGAAACACTTTGCCAGCCGTGTGCAAAAGCGTGTCCGGGAAAAATATTAAAACATGTAAAAACACTCAAATGGTAATAAAAGGTGCAGGTACAAAGGTTTGCATATTTAAAAAAAGGACTGAGTTTGCTGAGGCCTCAGGAGAAGAGCAGTGTCTGCAGCCCTGAGGGTTTTCTCAAAGCTAGAAGTCCCATCTATGCTGAAAATCACTGTATTCCTGTCAGTTAAACTTTCAACCACTTCCCTGTGGGATCTGTTCTACTGCTGCTACGAGTGACATTCTCTGTCCCTATCGTTGTACTCTAATACTCTTGAAGACACATTTAAACACACATCTAAAACTTGTCTGAAGCTGTCTTTTCTATCCATTCTAGCTCTGCAAATCTCCTCAGGCCCATTCATGTAGTAGTAGGTGGAAAAGCTGGAAGCCAGAGAGTGGAGAGCGCGGCTCCTCTGGCAGTGTGGTGTAGTGTGCTATAGGGGGTGTAGTGTACTGGAGGGAAACTTATGAGCGTTTGTCAGTGTGGGCTTTGTATCATCAGGCGTTGGCCAGTTCCTCAGCCTCATCTCGGTTCTCGTTGATCTCAGCCAGCGTCCTGACGAAGCGCGTCCACTCGTCAGCCTTAGGCACGCAGATTTGCTGCAGAGAAAATAATGGACCAGGCATTTAATAAGCAGTTTAAGGTTTAAACCTGTAAGTAAATTCCATATTGAAATAACCAAAGCATCATAGTAACATGAGCAGCCTCTCACCTCCCCTACGTCGTACACCTGCACCTGTCCGTCAGAGTCTCCGGTGGCGATCTCTTTGCCAGAGGGAGCCCACCTCACACGGTTCAGGGCTGGAGCCCCCTCCACATATACACTGGCGGTGGGAACCTAAAAAGCACACACCAGCTTACACATTGCCGATTTACAGATGATGAGCTGTTTCCCATTCTGAAACCACCACATATTCATGTTTATGAAGTATAATATTAGGAATAAAAGCCAATAATACTGTTATTTTTTATGTAGGCTATATGCTTATTCAATTGAGGCGAAAAAATAATCCAGCATTTTTCGGTTTGCAGAGATAATGCCAAGTTATGCTCTGCTGGCTTCAGCTGAATAGTAACTCAGAGTGTTACTATTGGAATTGTATCAATCTTATCCTCTTTTTATTATTTTTAATTTATGTATTTTTTTATGTTATGACAGTTTTCCTAAAATTGTTCTCTATTTTTTTTTTTACTTTTATGTACTGTATGCACCATGACATCAAGTCAAATTCCTCGTACGTGTCGACCTACCTGGTAATAAACCTGTTTCTGATTCTCTGACTATCCGCAATAAAGTGAACGTGAAAAAGCGCACTTCCAAAATGAAACTTGTACTTTGAAGGGTGACATTTCAGTTCTAGGTTTCAGTGCATTGTGTGTGCGCATACTTCTGTATCATTGTTGAGGTTCCACAGGTCCAGACGTCCAGCCAGGTCCACACAGGCGAACAGAGCCGGGTGTGTTGGAGACCACATGGCATCATAGACATAGTCACAACTGTCCTCAAACGAGTACAACGGACGGGTACTCTGTGCAGAAGAACAGAGAGGGAAAGGGATTTATGTTAAGAAACAAGACAAATACTGCATCTTATAGTGTAACAGCTTGTCTTTGACTGTAAATGTCTCACCTTGGTGCTCCAGAGTTTGACGGTCCAGTCAAAAGAGGAGGAGATGAAGAGATGAGAGAAGTCGACGGGCCCTCCGGCGCTGTGGCAGCTCAGACCGGTCACCGGACCATGATGGCCCTCAAACACCTCAGTAATACCCGCCTTACTGTAACACACACACACACACACACACACACACACACACACACACACACACACACCACACACACACACACACACACACACACACACACACACACACACACACACACACACACACACACACACACACACACACACACACACACACACACACACACACACACACACACACACACAATTACTCTGAGGGCTCTCCACTAACTAATACCTTGTTTCCCCGCAAGGCTTTTCCAGCACTTGTTGGAAGTGTTGCTGCATGCTGGTTGTGAACCAGACATACATGTGTGCTTTGGTGCTAATGAAGGCAGAGGTCAAAGGTCACACACCTCCCGTGGCGACAGGCTGTGTACACCGAGCCATCCTCGCTCCCCACCACAAAGTTGTTCACGTCTCCCAGAGGGAACGCCATGGAGGTAACGGCCACCGCTTTGCTCTGTTTGAAAACCAGCTCCAGACTGTCCTGCAAGCAAAACAACACACAGCCTCAGTCTCTGACATCTGATACTATTAAAGGAAGCCTGTGCATCATGCATTCAAGTGTAATGTACCTGTGGCTGGGAGAGCATGTCCAGGCTCCAGGAGCACATTTTGCCGTCAGTGGAAATGCTGATCAGGTTGTTAGCGTTTTGGGTTCCGACCACATTCACACAGTAGACTGGGTGCTGAGAGAAGAGCACAGACAGAGGAGTTAGACAACTGACACTTCATGTAAGAAAAACATGGCTGTAAAACGAAACCTAATATAAGCAGTTGTGTTGATCATATTAGATGAACTCAACTTAAGAGTGTCTGTAGAACAAAGGTGTGTAAGCTCCAGCGCCTTACTGTGTGTGCAGCTGCAGACAGGGGAGTTCTCTGAACGGGGGTGCGCTTGTTGCTCCTGTTGTCCCATAAGACAATCTGTCCGGAGTACGTCCCACCCACCACCAGGTTGGGGTGGAACTTTGCGAAACCGGCTGACATCACCTCTGACTAGAGGAAGAAAAATAAAAAACAGCTTAAATATATCAGCGAAATATTTGTTCTGTCTTAAAGGTCACCTATTATGCAAAATGCACTTTTTTGTGTCTTTTATATTTAAATATATATTTCCTTTTTTATTCCACAGACCCAGAATCAGCACTTCTCTAACAGGGCTGAAGGGGTGTGAGGCATGGCTAGAAAGGTGATGGTTTGGTATTATGAGCAAAACACTTCATAGACATGTTTTCTATATATCTGAGACCTATAATATATTCCTAAAAATAGTATAATAGGAGGCCTTTAAGCCTAAAACTATTAGATTTTTAATGTAAATTCTTCTTGAAATAATGATTTTAAGCCTGTTGTTTGTAGCGAAATTCCATGTGAATACTTTCCTCACCTGGCAGTGAAAGATGTACTCTGGTGTTTCCTTCTTGTACTTCAAGTTCCAGACCAGAGCCACTCCATCAGGCTCATGGGGGGAATCCTCGTTGTTGTTATACGAGGCCACCAGCAGCTCTGGATACTACGACGACGAAATTAGACAATTATAAACTCAGTGAAGCGAGGAAACACTTATTTAAGAGTCACAAATGAATGACCATATTGATCTGTTTGGATGAAAAACAAACCGACCTGAGGGGACCAGTCCAGACAGGTGACCACTCTGTTTTTGGTCCAGCGCTCATCTGCAAACTGCCTGTTCAGAACCAGCTTAGCCCCTGCCTGCAAGTCACTGCGATGAAAAACATTACAAATGATCAACCCTGTCTATCCACCTGTCTGCGATTGAACCCAACGTTTATTGAGTGCCTCACCCCTCCTTATCCTCTAGATCTCTGCCGCTGTAGTCGAAGCAGACGTCCACGTGCTCAGCCAGAGCTCTCTCCACAATCCTGCTGCCCCGCTCGAAGAACGACAGGAAGTCTTCAGAGTGCAGGACCTGCAGCTTTTCTTCCTCCGTCAGCTCTTTGGGACCGTCTATACACAAATAATTCAATATAGAGAACAAATAAATTACCAGAAAAAGATCTCGCTTACTGGTATCAAAATTCTGGATGGATAGAAATGTGTTTAAGTACTGGTAGGAGTAAGAAAATGAACAGTTGAGACTTACCGTCCTCCTGCCCTTCACCATCATCTTTCTCCTCCTGGGCATCATCTGCTGTAGGAGGAGCAGTCATCTCCTCATCCTCTTCCTCATCTGACAACAGATGTTTGTTTTATTCAGTTTTAAATAGGCCAAGGTAAAACTTTGGCGAAACATTTGGATGTTTTTTTACCTGCTTTTTGATCAGAGTGTGTCAGTGCCTCAGTGGCTGTCTGTGTTTCTTTGCAGTACGACACCATTTCCTTCGGTGCAAAGTCCACCTGGGTCAGTTTGGACATGCCCAGCCTCACAGCTCCACGTCTACACACACATATCATGGAGGAAATAAGCACACACATACACAGGTTTGCAAAATCAGGCAGATTTTGATGCAAATTGTACACGTAAAGACATGAATAATGATGCACAGACATAATGCAAACACATTGAGACAAATCTAAAATGAAACCACAAAAAATGTAATCAAGTTGGAAGACAAGCTAAAGGAGAGAGGAGGAGCAGTACCCCATGAGCTCAGAGTCGGAGTGCAGTTGCAGAGTAGAGGGGTCAGGATCCCAATGCAATGTCCTAATACAGCCAAACCACCAGACGGTGTTAGTAAGAGAAAGACAGGACAGACAGAAAGAAAAAAGGAAAACAGAGAACCAAACGCAAAAGACAGGCAAAAGGTAAGCCAATAAAGATGTGAGAGGTGAGACAGAGGAGGAGAGACAGAGAGAGAAGGAGGGCGTGTTAATTTGAGAAACATCAGCGTGCCGGTGAAAAGGCAAAAAGGAGACAGGTCAGAAATCATTAAGTATTTTTAACATATCAATACACACACAATTACCATGCAGGTACAACCTAAAATGACATTAAAAGGTTACCTAAAACAACCAATCCCCATCACTCTCTGTCACACACATACACACACATGCACAACACACACATAGACACGCATGCATACACGCACACACACCTTGGTCCTGCATTTCCATCCCCAGAATCCTGGCTTCCTGCGTCGCTGCCCACTGATTTGTTGGAGGGAGACATGGGGGCGGGGACTAGGTAGTGAAACAGACACGTATCCTCTGTTACTACCCTCAGGGGCTGAGCTGCGAGTGTGTGTGCATGGTAGTAAGTAAATGAATGAGTGAGTGAGGAAGTGAGTGAGGGACAAAGGGAGTGAGGCATGGAAGAGGTGCGTGAATGAGTGTGTGAGTTTGCATGCAGTAAGGAGGACAACACAAAAGGACAAAGGGGAGAGAAGAGAGAATGAAAATAAATGGCAGGCAGGTTTTTTAGGTGTCATGCACAAACAGTGAACAACATGTACAAATGTTCAGATATTGTGTGAGGTGGGGAGAGGGAGGGGGGGGGTGTGGCAGTGACGGAAAACCAAGCCAAACCACAAAGTTAGAGGTGACTTTTTTTATAAACACTGCGATTCCCAAGCTGACACTCAGAAAACGATGGGACATAAGTGAGGGTGAAAGATAAAAGATAGAAGCATGCAGGCGTCTCTCACCGTGGGAAATGTCAGGGGTGATGCCGACGCTCTGCAGCAGCATCTCCGCCTCCCTCCTCTTCCTCTCCAGGTCAGAGTCGTCATGGCCACCAGAGGAGCCGCCCACCTCCCCTCCACGCTTTGATTCTCCCTGCAGAGTACAGAACGAGCTGGAAACTGAGCAGCAGCCCCGCAGGTCGTTCAGTGATTCATGAAATAAGAAGTGTTTACAGCACAGTTTCTACCACTTACATCCTTCTTCTTCTTCTCCTCTTCTTTTCTCTTCTTCTCCTCTCGAATTTGGGCGATCCGCTGCTTCTTCCTCTCCAGCTCAGCCTTCAGCTCACTCTTGTCAGACATGCTGCAGGAGAAAGAGACAGATTGTTTTGTTTTTTTTGCCATTTTTGTATACTTATTTGAGAGAGGACAATGTAGAAATGGATAAGAGAGAGGGGTATGACTGCAGATGTATTTTAGAGCTGAAATTAATAGATGATAAATTGACTTTTCAATTGATTTAATATTTTTTAAATGTTGATTTTTTGAGTGATTTTTAGGCAAATTATACGTTTTCAGCTCCCATATCTTAAAAATGCAGTGTTTTTCTTTCCCATACATAGTAGAGCTAAATATATTTGATTGATGTATGAAAAAAACTAAGAATTAAATGTTATAGACGAAACGATTAATAGATTAATTGAGAAAAAGCCAGTCTTTCTTTGATGCAATTGTTTCTTAAAGGTGGGGTAGGTAAGTTTGAGAAACCGGCTCGAGATACACTTTTTGTTATATTCCATGGAATGCTCTTAACATCCTGATAGCAATGAATATCTTAAGTGCTTTGATAAAAAATCCATAAAAAAATGTCATCTGTGGAAGCCGTAATACTGTAAAAAGCACGACCAATCATTTTAGCCGGCCCGGCTAAAATAACTGGATGGCCTACCTGCCTGTCAGCCTTCCATCTGTGCACAAACTTATCTTGTGCCCTCATTGGTCATGTGCGCGTTCGTGTGTGTTGGAGGAGGGGCTCTGTAAGGAAGTGGCAGATTTCTTCCGTCTGTGTATTTTCAAATTCTAGCGATCTCGAGCCGGTTTCTCCAAAATTACCTACCCCACCTTTAATCATCATTCTTAAAACTCCATTTGCTTTGACATTTAAATCAAGTACATAGAAGGAAGTTTTGGATTGCTTCCATAAGGAACAAAAGCTGATACAAATCATTTCAATTAGGTGGGTGCTTGAGTGAGAAAGATAAATATATACAGATTATGGGTAATTCATTAAACATAGCATCAGAATACCAGTTGCTACAGCATTCAGACTACACACATCAGCGCTGCAGTGTCCTGATTCTGATGTTTAAAGCAGCAGATCTCAGTAGCCCTGGGCCGGTCATACCCGTGACATGTGAACACAACCCAGCTGTTGATAACAATGTTCTCTTTATGAGCTTTCTCCATGATGACACAGCTCATCATGGATGACTGGGAGGGTGTATTAGTCAAAAAAATTAGGCAAGATTATTATAAATCCACTTATAATTACCAAAAGTATATTAGTGTATTAACTTGACTCTTATCTTATACACATATTCAAAGTCAGCTAGCAATAATCATCAGTGACCCATACAACCTTTTTGAGTTTTGCTCTCAATGTTCTTACACAGTTAATACAGCTAGGAACAAGGAAAGCCAAACTGGATATACATTTAACGAATATATATCTACATATAAGAAGCAACAGATGACCAACAATTAACACTTAAAGTATGTGCATGTATTCATATTGTAAATACAGGTTGAATAATGAATATTGACGGTGACAGATCACAGTTCTTTAAAGCTATTTAAAAAATGTATTTTTTTACTTTAGAATTATAATATATATTGGGAGGAGTGGATGTGTTGTTGTCAGAGTTATTGACAGTGTAACAAGCAAGTAATATGACATTACACACAAATAAAAGCAACAAAAGTGGTTCTTTACACAATAATATCCTACTTCTATTATTAAAGATTTGTGTCCAGTGAAGATGGACAACAAAGATGCCATTGTGTCAATTTTATCTTTTATTTTTAATAATTAATTGGGTTTTTTGGTGAACGCTTTGTGTTAAGAAACCGTCCTTCTCAGTCGAGTATTTGTCCAACATTTTATAATCTGATTAACGGCTGCAGTCACCATGGAGAGCTAACTGCTAGTGTGCTAATCTCCATGGCAGCCGGCGGGCCTACTGTCACAATAAGCGGAATATAACGGTAGCCTCGCGAACCAACGCCCGAGCCTTTCCGCTTCACCGTGCCGCTCACTGACCCGCAAAGAGCAAACACAGTTATGAATATATGATAAAATACCTGATATCAGATGTTAGATTTTAGCAGGCAGGTGACAATATAATCCAATTTTGTGTTCGTTAATTCTGAAGAGAAGGGATGGTGGAAAGACTGATGATGCTGGAAGAGAGAGGGCAGCGGCGGCCTTCTTCTTCTGTGGTTGCGGCACAGAGCACAGTGTTACAGTGTTACCGCCTACTAGCGGCCACACTTATATTTCCCTGAACGATTCTTAACACTGTGGGTTTTGTTCACAGCTGTTATAAGGATATTCTGTTTGTTGCCTGCAGAGGTGGAAGAAGTATTCAGATCCTTTATTTAAGTACAAATTAATAATGCTACATACATGTGTACACATTTTACTTTTTAGTTCTGTTTTATTTTTCTATTTTGATATGTTTCTATTTTATGTTTGTTTATTTCCTACTCTTTTTCATGTTCACATTATGTGCAATGCCTTGTTTGCTGGCTGCTGTGACACGTTTTTTTTTATCAGTAAAGTATATCTAATCTAATCTGATCTAATTTTACGTTACAATTAAAAGTCCAGTAATACATTTTCAACAGTAGGATTGTGAAGTTCATTCATACAATTTTCAGGTTTCATGTTCTTTGCACAACAATTACTGTACAGAGAAACAGTTTTTGTCAAATTATTGGATCATGTTCATTTAATATATATACAAATATCCTGCAAGTAAAAGCAAAATGAGAATCTGAGACATTAAATACTAAAAAATGTATACATTTGTAGTAGAAGTAATGAATTCAAACAGGAATGTTTCTGTATGCAAATGTAGGTCTTAATCCATGTTCAGAAGTGATTAAAGTATGCGTAAACAGTGTTAAAACAGTAAGTAAAGCTGGTGTCAGGATAATGGTAAAAAGATAGGAAGATTGAAGTTGATGTGTATCAAGTTTGCGACTCTTACAACCTCAGACCCAGTGCCTGGATACGGTTCCAGGTTCCTGCTGTGCGGACTGAGGCTGGAAAAAGGAGTCTTTTTTATTATGGTCCTTGGTCTTGGAATGACCTTCAATCAAGCCTAAAACTGAGGGCATTTGTCTCAATAGCATGCTTTAAATTGAAGTTGTCTGAAGTCCTTACCACCAGCTGCTCTTGCAGTAATAAGTAGTGTACCTTTCTTACAGTCCTAATGTGCACAATGTAGTGACTGCTTTTTTTCGTCTTTTGTTTTCTTAGTTATGTTCTCTGTATTTTATATGTTTGTGTTATGTGTTATGTGTAACGTTGCTGCCTTCTTGGCCAGGTCAGCATTGAAAATGAGATTTTATCTCAATGCTTTTATCTGGTTAAATAAAGGTTAAATAAAAATAAAAATAAAAAGAGAAAAGAGAAGCATAGGGTAAGTATTTATACTGCAGAATGTCGGTCACATTAAAAAAAACGTATACTGGTTTTGTAATACTGATATAAATCATATATGGATATCTGAAATGGAGCTGATTGTCTTATGTACTGTATGGTTGTTAATATGTGGAAATTGCAGCAGGGAATTTTCAGATGTTCTTGTGAAAGTGCCATGCAAATACCACACAGAGAGTAAAATACCACAATGAGATGTAAAAACACACATATTTATTACCATAAGTCAATCATTTTGTATTATTATTTATTTTATTTATTCCATTATTTCCTTACAAAAGTATTTTGTGCATATTTCATGAACACCCATACAAATTAACCATTGTATGGGTTAAACAGTATGTAGAAAAATGCACTTATTAACATACTGTTCAATAATCTTTTACACATCTGTCCTGTGAAATTGATTTGAACTTAACCCTTTTTATGCACGTATATTTTTTTTGGATTTGCTCACAGTCTTGCCTTGGTTTGGTTTGGCGATTTCATTTTGTACCCTGGATAGAAAACTATCATATCTTAAGCGCTTTGTTTTTACTCTGGTTCAGGAGCTGGTTCGGCATACAGGAAGGGGTCATAAAGGTCACGCTTGAAATCATAGGGGTCAAAAGCAGGGGCTTCCTCGGTGGCTGGAGCTTCAGGGATGGGTTCCTCGACTTTAGCTTCCTCCTTTGTCTCTGCTTTCTCTTCAACAGGTGCCTCTGCGGCTGTTTCCTGGATCGGGCGCGGAGGGTGATCGATGAGGCAGTCAGGGTCCCAGTACGGATCGCAGTCGTACTCCATACCTTTAACAGTGACCTCAGGAGTAGGGGGAGGCGGGACAACCTTTTTGGGAGCAGGGGAAGGTGGGGGTGGGGGTGGGGGTGGTTTGGCAGGAGCAGCAGCTTTTATCTCTGCCACTGTTATGGGCCTGCAGGCGGGGTTAGCTCGTGGGTCGCACAGTACTGGAACAGCCCCCGTTGGCAGGTAGACGATCGCAGGTTTGCACAGGGTGTCTTTGGAGTTACACAGATAGATCGTCGGAGCATTCTCCAGAGGGTCTGGTGTTGGACCAGGGGTAGTGGGGGGTAGGGGAGGCAGAGTGGTAGTAGTTGGTGGTGCGGTGGTGGTCAGCACACCCATGACACTTTGGTAACTGGAGGCATCTGGGCCGTAGGTCAGCTCCAAGTGACGCATCTGCTGATACAGCATCCGGATCCTGTCGATCTCATACAGCTGAACACAGAAACATATGAGATTCTTGGTTAAATACTGTAACACAAGTAGTCCCACCACCTATGTAATCATTTACAATCAATCCTGCTTACTCCTTCAGTGTCTCCAATGCTGTTGTAGAAGCGGTAGTAGGACTGGAAATCAGGAGTGCCTTTGTACCACTTTGGGTCAACGTTCCTCTTTGGGCGAGAGTTAGTCAGGAAATCATGTGCCTGGGCAGAGTCAATGTTAACATTACCTATGGAAAAACACAGATTCAGGAATTAAATGGGGAAATAGTTTTTGTTTAATCAATATCTTTGTATTTATCTAAGGGTCAGCAGAGGCATTTTAATTCCTTAACTATTAGTATAAGTATTAATCTATAAAAACTACAAACTCAGCTCACTTTTTTAATAGTTTACCAGTTAACCATTTATGAAGAAAGTTAGTTTTAGTTATAATATCACTGAACTCACAGTGCTCTTTAATGTATTACATTTCTGTCTTGAAATATCTTAACTTTAGTACAGGTACTACTCAGCTCTTAAGATCATTGAATTATAAGTTAAAATTGTGATACGAACCGTTGCAAGAAAATACCTTATTCACTATAACCTATTGATTATATATGTATATGAATACTTTCTAATTAACCATATGACCTTTATGATAGCATTACAAACACATTAAATACCTCCAGGGTTCTTTAATTTCATCAGAGATGTTGCTTCTAGCAAACCTGGAGAGAAGTAGAGAATATATTAGACACCCCAAACTCAGTACTTCCCTCTGCAAGACGTTACACAGCAACCAAAGGAGAAATTATTCAAGAAGTCAAGGTCAGATGAAAGTAGAATGATTTCATGCACAAACCTGGCATTAACAACACATAGCATAGCGCCCTCAACGAGGACACCTGGGAAATCATCCTCAGCATCTGCAGTTGAAATGTCATGCAAAAACATTATTTTACATTCAGTCTTACATCACTGCTATAATACATACGTCTATTTCATAAGTATAAGCAAATACATGCATATTGAAAGCACAACAAATGTTGAAAATAAAACAAGAAAATATGCAAGGACACTTAAAGTTATCAATAATTATGAAGATACCCTGCTGGCAAAATAGAAAACCCCATTCCAATTTAATGTGAAGTAATTAACTAGTATCTTTCAAACATTTGGCAGAGCAATGTGCACAAAAAGCGTCAAATGCGAAGCAAATGCTACTTCGTCTTACTTTTAAACTTGACCTATAAGACTGAGAAAGAAAACGTAACGTACTCACCTGATGGTGCATCTCCCCAGTCCAGTTCTCATGTGCTGCACAACATACAGTAACTGTTCATAAGTACTGCTCTTAATACTGGGGCCTTTCCATTGGCCACTGAGCTGCAAGTTAGCCTAACTCCACCCTCATGCCGTTTCTGTTGAGACGTGGAAGATCTCATTAGTACACTGAGTGTGTACCAGCAGTAAAAGACCAACTTCAAACAAAATGGGTCTCCTTGTAAAGCCACAGGAAATGGTCCTGCAACAGCAGGGCACCTATGGGTGCCCAAGCAGTCCAGTTTCTCAGCTCTTTCTATGGGGTCATAGTCGTGGATGAAGCCATCAGTGGATGTAGAATGTATTCATAAAAAACAATACATCTTCCTAAATCTATAGCTGCCAAACACCCAAACAATATTTTGTTTTATGGCCAAAATATGCAAACCATGGCAACATGCACCCCTCTTACTGTAGCCTAATTCTTGACAAAACATGCCTGGAAGGTCAAAATTAACCCTTTGTCCAAAACAGCTGGATATGTCCTTTTAATTAGCTGTTGGCCAGTCAAAGAATAGAGGGGGAGCCAAGTTACCTACTGTTTAAGTCCCCAAGAAATATGCAAGAATGATGGGCTAGCTTCGTTCAAACACCACTGTAACGCAACCTGGGAAATTGTTGTTTAGGGACTTCAAACGAGCACTTTTATTAGTTTCCGCATTGATACACATCATTCTGAATGCCTAAATAGAAAATACACATACTGTACATGCACAACAAAGGTTAAGAATATTATTATTATTATTATGTACTATTTGGTTAAATATTTAGAACATATAAAATATTTTTGGGTTATTTTGCACTTGTTTTTAACTCTTTGTCCGTCCCGTCTCAATTGGAAACACAATGTTAAGAAACAAATTATATTTTTTAAATGTTTACTTAAGGACAGAAGTGTGGGTTCAGTTGTCAAACTATGCAAGTGATAACAAATAATGTGGCCATGTGATATAAAAAAACCCACATTTAACATTTCTTAAAGCACTTTGGGATTTGAAGTCAAATATGAAGTGCTTTATAAATGAAACCCATTATTATTATTAAAGTCTGAATGGGCTACATTTAGTGAAGACTTATGGTAGTAAACATTGTTGTATAACCCATTAGAGTCAAATGCTGTGTCTAAGTGTGTTTGTTTTGGCCTTCCCACCGGCTACAAAATGCCATGGAGTGTGATGACATGGAGTCAGACCAAAAACCTCCCTCAGAGCAGCCACATACTTGTTTTTAGCTGGCTTCA